GGCCTCTTGCCCAGACTCACACAACACACATCAGTGAGCTGTGATCATGTCACTGTACTCATCTGGGCAACAGAGTGAGACCCCAACTAAAAAAAAATATTGGGAGAAGGAATCTCATGCTTGCTCGGCTGCTCTCCAATGCCATTAAGGATTCAAACTCTGTCTTTTCCCACAACCATCCTTCGAATGTTGGCTTTTTTCCCTCATGTTGGTTAGCACATATTCACAAGATGGCTCCCGTGCATCCAAAGGTCACAACTGAATTCAAAGCAGAAAGAGGGCTGGGCATGGGGCTCACGCCTGTAATGCTGGCACTTTGGGAGGCTGAGGCAAGAGGGCAGCTTGAGCCCAGGAATTCATGACCAACCTGGACACATAGTGAGACTTGGTCCCTACAAAATCTAAAAATTAACTGGGTGTGGTGGCTCACACCTGTAGTCCAGTTACTCAGGAAGTTGAGGCTGGAGGATTGCCTGAGCCCAGGAGGTTGAGGCTGCGGTGAGCTGTGATTGTGCCACTGCACTCCAGCCTGGGCAACAGAGTAAATGAAACCCCAACTCAAAAAAAAAAAAAAAAAAAACCAGAAAGAAAGGCGCTGGAAGCCATACTTGCACAGCTTTCCCTTCTCTAAGGAAGCAAAGAACTTTCCAGAAAGGAACTTCCCCTTAGTCTCACTGGCTGCAGCTAGGTCACATGGCTGCCTGGAGCCACAGTGGAACCTGGGAAAGCAAGGCTCTTCTCATCTGAGGGCCCCACGTCCTCGGTTTCAACCAACCAGATATTGAAAACATTAAAAAAAAAAAAAAAACTACAAGCCGGGCTCGGTGGCTCAGTCTGTAATCCCGCGCCTTTGGGAGGCTGAGGTGAGTGGATTGCCTGAGCCCGCGGGTTCGAGACCCGCCTGGGCAGCGAGACCTCCTCTCTACAATAAATCAAAAAATCAGCCGGGCGTGGTAGCGCATGCCTGTAATTCCAGCTACTCGGAAGGCTGAGGCGGAAGGATTGCCGGAGCCCAGCAGGTCGAGGCTGCGGTGGCCGGGAGCGGCCACTGCACTCCAGTCTGGGCGACAGTGAGACTCCAACTCAAAAAAAACCAAACCAAAACAAACAAACAAACAAAAAACTACAAATGAAAAAAATACAGTATGACAATGATTTACATGGCTCTGCGTTGTATTAAGTATTGTAAGTCATCTAGGGAGGATTTAAAGTACATGGGAGAATATGTACAGGTTTATGCAAAGACTACACCATTTTATATCACGGTCTTGTACATCCTCAGAATTTGATATTCACTGGGGTCCTGGAACCAACTCCCCACAGATGACAAGGGATGACTACCTGGGAAAGGGGTTCTATTGATGAAAAACTGGCGATTATTTTAGCAAAAATAAGTGATGTGGGTAGGTACGGTGGCTCACACCTGTAATCTCATCACTTTAGGAAGCCAAGGCGGAAGGATCACTTGAGTCCAGGAGTTCAAGACCAGCCTGGGCAACATAGCAAGACCTTGTCTCTACAAAAAAAATTTAAAAATTAGCTAGGCATGGTAATATGTGCCTGTAGTCCCTGCTACTCAGGAAGCTGAGGCAGAAGGATCACCTGAGACCGGGAGGTCGAGGTAACGGTGAACCACGAGCATATTACTGCACTCCAGCCTGGAGAGACAGAGTAAGACCTGACTCAAAAAAAAAAATGGAAGAAGTGTTGTGCAATTAACATAGTATCCCACCTTAGAGGTGAGGAAGATAAAAAGATTTGATGTTTGTTAACCACCTACTATGTGCTAAGTATTGAGCACTTTTCATACCTCAACTCATTTCATCCTTACACTGAGGACACTGAGTAAAACTACTCAGAGGAGTACTCAGCTTGCCTAAGGACACACGTCCGAGGCCTTTTGTGAACATGGCCCCCAACACCATGTACAGACTCCACTGCACAGGTCAGAGGGGATATGGGAGGAGGCCCACCTGAGCACCCCACCTCACATTCTGTGATGAGAGTGTTTTCCATCAAGGTCCGAAACACCAGGATTTCAAGTCCAATTTTGTGTTAAAGCAAAGCGCTCAAGCTCGGTGGCCCACAGGCCTTTACCATGGCTCTCACAAGGGCAAGGCTAGATGGCCCCTGCTCGTTCTCCTCACATCCCATCAGGAGCCAGAGAGATCAGAAAGTGCTCCCACGTGTGCTGGCAGGGAGAGCAGGCTGGGAGGAAGGAGAGCCGGGACACCCTCACCTTGCCTTAAGCCGACACAGGGAGACACATTTCACTTACATTATTTTATTTACAACATCAAAATCCCTAAAAAGTAAGCATTGTGTCAGTATTACAGAAGAGATTATAAAATTTAGGTGATGAGAAGTAGCAGGGCTGGGATTGACCACACATTCATTTTGTTGTTCATTTCCCCACAGTTCTGAGCCCCTACCATGTGCCAGGTTCTGTGAAATCTGGCTCTTTTGGGTTAAGACTTCCCAGTCCCTCTGCCATGCTTTGAGCATCACTTTAGAGACAGTTCAGAAAGGCTCCAGGGCTCACCCAAGACCATGATGTTCCTACGAGGCAAAGCAGGCTTCAAACCCAGACTCTCTAGCCCTAAGTCCAGGGTGCCTTCCCAGACTTCCTCAATAAGCTGTCTCCTTTCCACTCTTTTACTTGTGCTTTTTGGACCCACTTGATGTCTCCTCGTGTCCCTGGTCCGGGCTCTGCAGGCCTTCAGACTGGAATGAAAAGACTGTTCTCAGAGGTGGAAAGAGATCTGGTACCTGCACAACAGGTTTTGGGATGCCGGAGCTATTGAGTCGCTGGATTAACCAGCCCTGGCACTCTCCAGCCTTTGGTCTTTGTGCTCCATGAGATAATAAACTTTCTTTTCCATTGCTCAAGCCTGCTGTGTCAGCTTTTACTGTATCCTAGCAAGTGTGAAAATGCAGGGCCCTAGTCTCGCAGTCCTTACTGTCTGGGACACTCACTAAGGCACCTGCTTCAAAACCATCTTTATTTCATGTCTTGACATCCCACCGGTCCATGGTACTGAGTCATGGATGACATGGTACCTTCTTGGAGAGCAGAAGCCCTTGCACTGATAAGAACTTTGAAGTTCTAGATTCTGGTCCCAACCCCTCTGCGAACTGGCGAAATCTTTCACCATCACTGTTTCCAGGCTACACGTTGTATTGGGGGAACTCTTCAGCCAAGGGGTGGGGATGGGATTCGTCCTCATACCAGATCTCTCTAAAAGGCTGCATGGATCACTTCCATGGAGCACCCAAGAATATATGCTGTGTGTTGCCATCCATACAAAGCTCAAGAATAGGAAAAACTAGTCTATGGTGTTAGAAATCAGAATAGTGATTACCTGGAGCAGGGGGTGGGAGGTGGTATTAGGGTAAAGGACACCGAAAGTGGCCAGAGGAAACTTTCTGGGCTGATGAAAATTTTCAGTATTGTGTATTGTGTTTTCTGTGGTGCTTACCAAGGTGAATACAATTATCCTTTTTTTTTTTTTTTTTTTGAGTTGGAGTCTCACTCCATCACCCACGCTGAAGTGCAGTAGCATGCTCACAGCCATCCCAGTGTTGGCCTACTGGGCTCAAGTGATCCTTCCACCTCAGCCTTCCAAATAGCCGGAACTACAGGTACGCGCTACCACACATGGCTAATTTTTTTATTTATTGTAGAGACGAGATCTCACCAAGTTGCCCAGGCTGGTCTCGAGCCCCTGGACTCAGGCAATCCTCTCACCTCAGCCTCCCAAAGTGCTGGGATTACAGGCCTGAGCTACAACACCCGGTCACAATTGTCCATTTTTATCAAACTGAACATTCAAGATTTGTGCATGTTGTATAGATTGTGCCAACAGATGGACAGAGTGGCTCATACCTATAACCCCAACACTTTGGGAGGTCAGGCAAGAGGACTGCCTGGGCCCAGGAGTTTGAAACCAGCCTGAATAACATGGCAAGGCCTCATCTCTACAATAAATCAAAAAATTAGCATGGTGGCACATGCCTATAATTCCAGCTGCTTGGAAGACTGAGGTGCAAGTATTGCCTGAGCCCAGCAGGTCGAGACTGTGGTAACCATGATCATGTAATTGCACTCCAATCTGGGAGACAGAGTGAGACTCTGACCCAAAAAAAACCAAAAAACAAAAAACTATGCCTTCATTTCAAAAACCTTTTAAAAGATGGATTCTGATGTTGTGGTCACCTCAGCAGTCAAGAATGCTGTGATTGATTAGTGATGTCTGCCACAGGCAAAGGGGAGAGTGAGAGATGTTAACACAGGACCAGGTGTTTGCCATTCTTGTGCTTTTAGCTGTCATCTTCGTAGCATTTCTATATCACTTAAGTGGTTACAGTGACTAAGTCCACCTTATAAGATTATGATGAGGTGAAAGTTCTTTGTATAATGTAAATTCCTGGCCAAGTGCAAGATGTCATTATTCACTTTTATTCCCCATGATGTCTTGCACAGTGGGACTGACTTTGGCAGGTAGGTTCCCAGAAAATCCTCCCTGGCTACAGTGAAATGCAACAGAGTCAGATATTTTCAAAGCACCAGGCTCCCCATGAACACGGACTTGCTTGTCTGTCCCATTATTTATACTGCAAACACCAAATGCCAGCACGGATCTGCACACTGGACCTCCCATTCCAATACAGAGCCGTTTTTGAAGGTCCTAAAATGATTTCCACAGGCTGAGCTGGGCAATGTGTTTTCTTCTGAAGCCTTTATCCTTTTCTGATGTTCTGCCTCAAGATGGGATCTGGTGTTTGTCATTTCTCCCTCTCCTTCCAACTGCAAGGCTGCAGGGGCCTTTCAGACCTTTGCTCTGTGGGCTCTTGGTTTGTGTATGTTAACGGAGGCATCTGTTTGGGGTTCCTTCTGGTACCTTCAGGAGTCTCCTGGGTGACTGATGAGGACTGTGCTAACCAGCCTGTTCCACTGGGAGGCTCAGCAACTGTGCTATTTCCCGCCTGTGTCCCCACAGAGGGAGCAGGACAGAGTCTGGCAACCGTACCTCCACTTCCGAAGCCAGAAGGAGAGCCAGGTCCAACGGCAGATCCAGCCAGGGTATTCAGCCAAGAGATACCTCCGAGGCCTTTTGCGGACGTGGCCGCCCAACACCATGTACAGACTCCAATGCGCAGGTCAGTGGGGACGTGGGAGGGGGCCTACCTGAGCGCCCCACCTCACATTCTGTGATGAGAGTGTTTTCCATCAAGGTCTGAAACACCAGGATTTCAAGTCCAATTTTATGTTAAGGCAAAGCCCTCAAGCTCGGTGGCCCACAGGCCTTTACCGTGGCTCTCACCCTTGGTCTTCCCAGCATCTGCAGAGAGAAGTCTTACCTTTACTCCCACCCCTCACCTTGGCAGCCTCACACTCCAAGTCCCAATCCAGAACTTTCTTCCCAACCTTCTCCACTCAGAGGCCTCACAGATCCTCTAGTGCAACCCCTGTTTTATACAAGCCAAGGAAAAACAGGCCCAAGGCCAGGTATGGTAGCTCACACCTGTAATCCCAGCACTTTGGGAAGTTGAAGCTGGAGGATTGCTTGATCCCAGGAGTTCGAGGCCAGCCTGAGCAACATAGCAAGACCTTGTCTCTACAAAAAAATAATTTTTAAAAAATTAGCCTCAACCCAGGAGGCCGAGGTTACAGTGAGCCATGGTTGTGCCACTGCACTCCAGCCTGGAAGACAGAGTGAGTGAGACCTCGACTCAAAAAAACAAAACAAAAAAGAGGTCCAGAGAGGCAAAGTAGTTTGTCCAAGGTCATTCAGTCAACCACAGAGCTGGGACCAGAAGTCAGATGCTCCCCACACCCCCAGGTCCACATGCTCCCAGCATGGCATGGCTCTCCAGCTGAGGTGACCTCATGTCCTCCAGTGAGTGAAAGTTTGGGACATCTCCTCTTAAAGATGGTGGCTTTCTGGCCCAGTTCACAAGGAGTGCAGTGGATACTTTTCTGCTTGACAGAGACCTCAAATTCTGCAAAAGCTCAAAAATGACAACGGGCAACGATCAGGGGTTAAAGTTGCCAGATTTAGCACCAACACACCCATCCTCACACACAAACAGCAAAATGTGCAATGTTGGGACATATTTCTACTAAAAAAGTATCAATTGCTTATCTGAAATTCAAATGTAACTGGACGTCCTGTGTTTTATTTGGCGAACCTCCCAGGGAGGAGAGAATAAGCAGGGGCCCTGCCAGTACCCACTTGACTGTTTGCCATCTCTTCAGCAGCAACATGCAGGCAGGACCTGGGAAGACGGACTTTCTTCCTGACTTATAGGTTTACCCTGGGAAAGAAGAGAAAGCAGCTCTCTCCCTTGAAACAGAGTGGGCATGGTGCCTTGAAGCACAGTGGGCATGGTGGGCTTGTCCAGTCATTGGTTTTTCTTATATGGCATCTCCACAGTCATGGGCAGTTCCAATGATTTAGCGCTTGTGAGAAAGAGCCTCTTCGCCAAAGACGTGTTGAACATTGGGTGGAGCAGATACCAGAGCAGGCCACTATCTCATAGTCTAGACCCAACCCCTTCAAGAATGAAGGCCCCTTTTAACATCAAAAAACATCTCCAAGTCCTCCGTGGGAGTCCTACAGCTGATGTGTGTGGTTTAAGAAAAGACACACACACGTGTGCGCTTGCAGAACCCTTGCTGTCATTCCTTGCCAAAGCCCTTAAGCTGGAGGAATGAAGGCAAGAATCTGGTGTGAGACCACCAGCCCAGCCTCTGGTTGCTTATTCCTGCTCCCCACCTCCGGGATGCTCATATATTCTCTCGTCTCTTTCTTTCTTTCTTTCTTCCTTCCTTCCTTCCTTCCTTCCTTCCGTTCTTTCTCTCTCTTCCCCCCTCCTTCCCCCCTCCCTCCCTCCCCCTCTTCTTTCCTTTCTTTCATTCCTTCTTCTTTTTTATTTGAGACAGGTTCTCACTATATTGCCCAGGCTAGTCTCGAACTCCTGGGCTCAAGTAATTCTCCTGCCTCGGCCTCCCAAAGTGTTGGGATTACAGGCCTGAACCACAGCACCCAGCCTCTGGTCCCTTTTTTACACTCCTATGATAAGCCCTCCCCACCCTTCAAACCCACATGTTCTAGAAAGGCTTCTCTGACAACTCCAGGCAATCTTGAACTTATGTCACACTGACACTTGGACCACCAGTTGAGCATAAGAGAGCTTTGTCTTTCCCATAGACTACGGGTGCCTTAAAAAAAAGGGCCTGCGTCTGGTTCCTCCATGTCTACCCTACTGCCTAGCAGAGGGGTGGGCCTTTTGGTAAGCCCTCAGTGATGCTTGTAGAATGACTGGATGGAGAAGGCTGTTGACGAAGGACTGTTGACTGTAGGCCTACAGAAGCAAGCAGGATACATCCCCTACCACAGGGTCTCTCCTGAGGCAGCTGTTTACTCAGTCTTAGGGACGCAGGGAAGCAGATGTGTTCCTTCCACCAAGGAGACTCCATTCTTGGGAATGATAGAGTGGAAGTGGACTCAGATTTTTTAATCTTTCCCATCGTCTAATTGTCTTCCCTTTTTTTTGAATCAGAGTCTCACTCTGTTGCCCAGGCTGGAGTGGAGTGAGGTGGCACAATCATGACTCACCACAGCCTCGACCTCTAGGGCTCAGGCGATCCTTCTGCCTCAGTCTCCCAAGTAGCTGGTATGTGTATCACCACACTCAGCTATTTTTGTAGAGTCTCACTATGTTTCCCAGGCTAGTCTCAAGCCTCTAAACTCAAGCAATCCTCCCGCCTTGACCCCCCAAAGTGCTGTAATTCCAGGCATGAGCTACCACACCAGGCCCTCTAATTGTCTTTCTTAATGGGCAATGTCCACAGCCAATACTAGTGTAAGTGAGGGACCTTGTAGTTATCTACAAGAACGCTAGACTGGTGACCACTATTTCTTTCAATAACTCCTGACCTTCTCTTCAGGACATATCAAGGATTCCATGCTACTCCTGGACAGTCATCTTAATGTACCCAAGAATCTGAGGCTACAACAGGATCTTTCAGGTGTGCCCCCAAAATACCATCTCCTGCCTGTCTTCCCACCATTTTGGATTCAACAAGGAAAGTCTTTTGAACCAGGTACATTTTGATTTTATGACCAGTTCTCAAATATTTGGATTTTTGACATCTTAAAATGGAGTTTCCCAAACTAAGGTCTTGGGATCCTGGGTTGCATTGCCCTCATCTGTTAAATGAGGGTATTAGTCTTAATCAGTGCTGTCCAGTGGTATTTTTGCAAAGATGGAAGGTTCTATAAGTGCTGTCCAATGTAGTAGCCATTAGCTAAATCTAGCTACTGAGCACTTAAGATGTAGCTAGTACAACTGTAAAACCGAGCTTCTTATTTTCTTTAATTTTAGTTAGTTTATGTCTAAGTATCCACATGTTACTAGTGACTACTGTGTTGGTCAGAGTAGGTCTAGATGCTAGATTTTAGATGCTCTCCTTAGTGTGTTTCACTTATAATATTCTTTAATCCTACGATTTTTGTGGCAATATAATGTAGTAAGAAATATACACATGGGGATCCCCAAAAAAACTGGAATTACCTTTTTGGAGGGTGGGCCCCTTGTAGTACAGGCTTTACCCGCTAGGAACCCATCGGCAACAGTGTACCAGCAAATGTTGTTGCAAGAGACTGTGTTCAGCTTCAGTGAATTCTTTTTTTGGGAGATTCTTTCAACGTGTTTACCCATTCCTTGACGAGTGATTTATAAGCACACCTGCCCACACCACACTGAGTGTTCAGCAGTTTTTAAACAAAAATGCCATGACTCCCATGCTCCACCCAATCTCGCCAGAGCAACCTTTTTTTTTGTTTCCCGAATGAAACAAGTCCTCAAAGGGAAACATCTTGTCAATGTGGAAGAGGTGAAACAAAACAAAACAAAACAAAAAAATAGCAGAAGCTCTAAAAGGCATCAAAATTGACGAGTTCAAAATCTATTCTGAGCAGTGGAAAAATCATCTTGATAGGTGTATGGCATGAAACAGAGAATACTTTGAAGGTGACTGAAATTTAAACATGTAAGAATAAATATACAATTTTTATTAATAAATTTTGGGGCTTTGGGGGTCTCCCTCATAGATTTTGAAGCCAGAAATCTATATTGCAATGGCTGTTCTCTCGCTTACTAGTTGTAAGACCTTGAGCAAGTCACTTTGCTCATCTCTGTAATGAACTCAGTAAGACCTGCCTTGTTACTGTATGGAAAATTATTGTGAGCTGTCTGTAAATTGTTCAGTGCTACAGGGATTTACCTGTCAGTATTATTCTTTGAAACTCGAAGCATTTAAAGGGCCAGAAGTTGCCTTTGGTAAGGGAGATGGGAAAAGATGACTGGGTAGCAATAACAGGCAAAGACCAGGGCCTTGGTTGGCAGCAGAGTTCTTGAGAAAATAAATGAAAAGAACAAGAGCCTAACAGAACCCACAATTTTTCTGAAATGGAAAAGGAATTTTCTAGAAGCAGTGACAGTGCCTGACCAAGTCCTATCCTTGGGATAAGTAGAGAATCTGGCTTACTGAATGAGTGGAGAGGAGCATGGCAGGTGCCATTAAACATGCCACCCACACACTGGTGTAAGCCTTGACTCTGACACCAGGGAATTCTGGTTCTAACCTGGTCCACACGTGGTCTGTCTGGTTAGGTAACTGTATTTCTCTTTGTAAATTCATACTCTGATCTGTATATCAATCTCTATGCACTTTGCTAATGTGGGTCAACATCCCTGAAACCAGTTGAGTCTGGTCTAAAGAGATCGAGTTTCTGGGCCACCCATGTCCCAGGGTGTGGTGCCCATCCTTCCCCAGATGGCCCACTATCTTGCCATTGCCCATGACCGCTCTTTTCAAAATCCTGCTGTCTCCGGTTAGTAATCCTGGACTTTGATGCCCTGGAGTCCCAAAATACTGCACAGTGGATGGCAGCACTTCCATTTTATGAGTGGACTAACACTGCACACCTAAGGGATAGAGTGACCTTCCCTAAGTGATGTCATGTGCCAAGGAGCTGTCACCATTGGACAGAAAGCAGAGAAGTTGTACAGAATCGTGATTAAATAGGTGCCTCGCACCAGGTTTCAAACCACGTGACCTCTCTGGGCCTCATTTCCTCATTTATAAAATGGGACTGACCATACCTACCATTACCTCACAGGGTTGTATGTTGGAGTTAAATGGGATAATGCAATACCTGGCACACGGAAGGTGCTCAATAAATGTTTATTATTAACCTCCTGAGCTTGGGTTTTTTAAGCATAATTACTAATTGTAATGCCCAATTGCCCATGATCACAGGGGCCAAACAGATCATTTTTTAAAGAATCCAAAGGAGCACAGAGGCTGGCCCCAGCACTCTAGCGGATATTTCCATGGGTTTTAACTTTACTACCATTGGCCTTCCTCTCTGTGCCAGACACTCATTCTAGAAAAGTAGCAAATATCCTGCCAGACCCTCTCACATGTGATGCTGGCCACATCACTGACGCCTGCTGTATCATCTGTCAAATGCAAATACTGGCAGCTGCATTCCCTCCTCCCAGGATTGCTGTGAAAGACTGCAGGAGAGGACAGAGGCTCAAAGTTCTATTCAGCTCTAAATTGCCACCCCATGCCCAGTGTTTGCATCAGCTCAATCCATACTTGAGCTACAGAGAGACTAAGACTTATGGTCTCTTTTCAAAACTTCAACATCAAATACTTTGCTTGCAAAGCCATTTCTAAGAAGCACAGACAGACAAGCCAGATAATGGTGTTTCCTGAGAAAAATCCTATTTCCCCTGGTATGAGTTGAGTCACAGATTCAAACTCTCCTGGGTTATAGCCAAAGGAGAGATCATGCCTCTGTATCCCCTACCCACAATGCCCCTGCCCCAACTCAGACCATCTGACTTGAGACTTAGGAAGAGAGCAGCCTTTGGCTGGAGTCTCACTTCCTCCACCCTCAGAAATGCACTTGGTTCCAGGTGAACCTGACCAGGAAGAATGGACCTGGGGTCTGGCTTGATCCCAAGGATCGTTCTAGAATAGCACAAAAGATCTTAAGTGCTGCACTCTGTTATGGAGTGGAGGTCCCCTTGGGGACAGGCCTAATGTGGCCCTGGGCCACTTTGGACTGAGGAATCCCCGAGGTCCGTCAGCCCTCTCCAGGTCACTAACACCTGAGCAGACCCTCCCGGCCTAAGTCTGAGCCTGGATCACTTTCAATAGTACCCTTAGCAGCAGTTCAAACCTAGAGCAGCCTTCAGGAGCCGAGGGCTGAGGACAGGGGCTGGAGGAAGGGAGGAACCCCACACATAGGTGTTTGACTCTTGACCCTGTGACACCGGAGATGAAGGAGACGAGGGTGGAGAGCAAGGAGGAGAGGGGAGTCTAATTGGGGAGAGGGAAGGCTCCCAGAAGTTCACTTCAACATACAGGGCCCCAAGGCCTCCAGAGCCCCTGGTTGAAAAACAACCCCACCTTGTTTCCAGAGCTGAGAATGCAGGTATTGCCGAAGCCTGGCTCCAAACAAGGAAGGTTTGCCAGACCCTTTCAGCATTAAATCCACTTTGATTAAGTGGTGAACATTGCCACAGGACTCTTCAAACTATTGATGAAAGACTTGCTATGTCAGAGTCATCCGTTGACTCAGATTCTTCCCAAGGATCGCAGACAGGCTGCATCCGAGAACTGAGCGGCAGCCCCCACTCCCCACACTCGGAAGAGGATTTTCCACCGTAGGTAGCCAGAGATGGCCCAGGACAGCCACAGGCTGGCTTCTGGCAGAGCAGGTCAGCCATAGCATGGCGGGGCTGCAGGTCACACCACCTCCATCACCACCCTGTGTTCATCCACCAGCCTGGTGCCATTCGTAAGGACATGTTACCTTATGTGTGCTCCAGAGACCTCTGGGAGAAAGCGAGGGCAGGACATCAGTTTCCCCAGGTGTCCCCATTTTACTGATAAGAAAACTGTGTCTGAGAAATGAAGACTCAGTCCTGAGTCTGCCGACTCCCAGGGCAACTCTGTGGCACTGACCCAGCTGTCCTGTCCGTGGAGGCACCATCAGAAACAGAAATTAGGGGGGAGGAGGGTCAAGGCCTGAACACTTCTGCTCAGAGAAGCAGGACGGGAAGTAGCTTGGAGCAGTCAGAGCTCCGTGCCCATGTCTGGGGTCACATACTGGCCCACTGCTCACCTCTGCAGGTCAACAGGACCCGGATGAAGGGGACACCGAGGCTGGCGGACACACGGACCAGGGCCCCGTAGCTGAGAACCACAGCAGTCAGGGGACTCACCTGCTGCCACTCGGGAAGCAGCCCCGGCAGAAAGATGAAATCCGGGCAAAGGTACGATTTCCAGTGGGCCCCCCTCTGTCACTGTCCTTGACTTCAGAGAGGATCTCCCTCTTGTCACCATTCCTCAGGACCTCTAGAGAGGAGTTCCTTTGACCCATTCGACCACTGTTTCTCAAAGTGTTTCCTGGGAACCCTGATGTTGCAAGATGCTTCATTTTTTAAAAGGGCTTTGGGCCGGTCTCAGTGGCTCAACCTGTAATCCCAGCACTTTGGGAAGCCAAGGTGAGTGTATTGCCTGAGCCCGCGGGTTTGAGACCAGCCCGGGCAACTTGGCAAGCCCTTGTCTCTACAATAAATAAATTTAAAAAAAAAATAACTGAGTGTGGCAGCATGCCCCTGTAGTTCCGGCTACTTGAAAGACTGAGGCGGAAGGATCGCCAGAGCCCAGCAGGTAGACACCGGGTGGCCGTGAGTATGCCACTGCACTCCAGCCTGGGCAATGGAGTGAGACTCCAACTCAAAAAAAGAAAGGACTTTGTAGGCAAACACACTTGGGAAATACTGCATGGCATATCCTCCCCCAGAAATTCACATGCACATGTAGACATGGAGCAATATTTTAAAGAGTTTTGTTTATTATTGTTTCTTTTTAAAATCAGGGTTTAAAAAAAAAAAAATAGAGATGGGGGTCTCACTATGTTGCCCAGGCTGGTCTCAAATTCCTGAGTTCAAGCAATCTTCCTGCCTTGGCCTCCCAAAGTGCCAGGATTATAAGCGTGAGTCACCGCGCCCAGCCACGAGAAATTCTACAGTGAGTCGCCAGGTGAACTTTGTTTTTAAAATTTATGTAACCACAGATCCTCCCCCAACTCTTCACCCACCTAGGCAGCTATAACCTTGTTTAGAAAAAGAGAAAACTCTTGGCCTTAAACTTGAAAAAGCTTTGGTTGGAGTATTGCCTCTTATTGGCTGTGACAAGCCCATCCAAGGAACTCAATTAGCTTGGGGCCTGAATGGCCCCTTCTGTAAAACAGAGCTGTGATCCTGTCTATTTCTCAAGGTTTTTCTGAGGATTAAATGAGCTAAAATGTGGAAACCCTTTCTAAACTCTAAAGCCTGTGTGTATGTGTGTGTGTGTGTGTGTGTGTGTGTGTGTGTGTGTGTGTGTGTGTGTGTGTTTGTGTATACAAGAAAACAGTTATTCAGAGCCACGTAGACCACACCTGCTCCCATCTTGAATAAACTCATTTGACTTACAAGACAGTCAGACATGAGAGAGAACAGAAGCTGGGAAAAGAACCACGTAGTGGACGGGAAGAGGGAGGGACATTTTGTGATAGATAAAGACACCAGTAGTAGCCTTATATTTTGATTTTTAGTTTTCTTTCTTTTTCCAAAAGAACACTATATGTCAGGTGTGGTTAAATGTCATTCTTTCTATCACCAATGATAAAATGAGTTGGGCCTGGCGGCTCGTGCCTGCAACACCAGCACTTTAGGAGGCCAAGGCCAGAGGATTGCTTGAGCCCAGGAGTTCAAGACCAGCCTGGGCAACATAGCAAGACCTCATTTCTACAATAAACCAAAAATTTAGCCAGGCGTGGTGGCATGTACCCGTAGTCCCGGCTACTCGGGAGGCTAAAGCAGAAGGATCACCTGAGCCCAGGATGTTGAGGCTGTGATGAGCCGTGATTGTGCCACTCCACTCCAACCTGGGCGACAGAGTGAGACCTTGACTCAATAATAATAATAATAAATGTCTTATTGTAATAAACAGACATAGAGACTTTGCTATTATAGTCTTATTTTTCCTCCCAGTCTGCAAAAGAAAGTCCATCCTCGAAACCCAAAGTCTAGCGCCAAGGACTGTTAGGACCCTGCTGTGTCCCTTGCTGTTCGCCTAGTGACAGGAATGTGTTTCTGTCTTCCCAGAACACATCAGAAGAGAGTCACCTTCGCATGCAGGCTTCAAAGGAAAATCACCAAGAACAGCAGCACAGTCCCAGGAAAGCCCTCAGACACCCCTGCAGTGGCCACTCCCACATCGCCTTCTACGAAGGCGCCTTCCCTATTAGGAAGGCAGATCTCAGCGGTAAGAATCCAAGTGTGGATCTGGGTAAACCTAGTCACGCAGGTTCATTTGAAAACACTTTCTCGTGCCATTTACCTCAGAAAATAACAGTCACAGCCCAGTTAGACGTGAGAATAAGACTCTGACCAGCTCCTCTCTGCCAGGTACCCACCGCACACATTCTGAAGTCACTATTGCCTGAGTTCAAATCATCCCAGGCTTACTAGTGAGCAAATTACTTCATTTGACTGAGGCTCAGTTTTCTTACCTATAGAACGGGGACAGTAATAGTCTCCACCTGGGGCTACTGTGGGGATAAAGTGAGTTCATGCATATAAAATGCTTTGCACAATTATTTTCCCATACTTAGTGCTCAAGACTTATTAACTGCTGTTCTTGTTGTCATTCTCCCCATCACCTGACTCGACCAGCAAGAACCCAACCCAGTCAAGGAGCCTGGGGCTCCTTGAACCTGCCTGTGATGGCTGGCAGGGGGTCCCTCCAATATGTTCCCTGCCCTTGTCCCCATTAACCAAAAAGTGATACAAGTCAGAAGTCGACTGTTCATCCCCACACCCACAACTCATGAGACTTCATTCCTGTACTGTTTCTACAGACAAACAAGGGAGTACAAAATTCCCCAAAGCCAGGAGCGACTGCTGGTCCCAGGAGCCTCCTGCCAGAGGATGCCTTTTCCCGCCTGTGGTGTCTGCCTCAGGCTCAGAAAAAAACACCCCTGGAGACATGAGGAAGAAAAAGGTGGGATATGGGGGCGGGGGGAACGTGTGTATGTCTGTGAGGTCAATCCCAATCTAGAAACAGGGTGACCCAAAGGGATGTCTCAGCAGAGAACTTGCCTCTTCAGTGCCTGGGCTCACCAGGTGGAGCTGGAAGCAGAATCATTCGCTAAATGTTGAAGATCCTGAAGTGCTGGGGACTCAGCTGCTCCCAGGTCCACCTTGAAGCCTGCACTGTTGCCACATTCTCTCTGGTGGCCACAGAGTCCTTTGTTCTGCTAAGGGGCTGGGCACTGTCTGTGAACACGTGAGCCACAGATTCACTTCAGCCTCAACATGCTGGAGATCCCGAATCCGGCGACGGTTCTGCTCTGTTGAAGGTCCATCACCTTTGAACATGTCAAATTTATCAACCTCCTTCAGAAGTCAAGTTCACTTTCCTTCTTAGAGATGTCCTTGGCTGTCTCTGGCCTGCTCTGCCTTGCAAGTCTAGATGGGTCTTTGGTAGTTTGGAGGCACCTGTGATGAGTGGGAACAAGCAAGGTCCCAGGATGTTCTGTCCCTAGCAGCTATGGGAACGTGAGCAGGTCACTCACACCCTCCAAGCCACAGTGGCATTATCTGTGTGCACAGATAATGCCAACCTCACAGGGCTGATAGAAGGATGAGAAGAGGTGAAGCCCTTTTAGCAAAATTTGCTGTGTCTGACTGGGGTCTCAAGTAATGTTGGTTAATTGTAAGGATTCGTGTCACCTGCAGGGGCCCTAGACAAGCCATGGGCACTCCAGGTAGCCCTGGCTCCTGCAAGGGAGGTTCTTTCCGGGCTGTTAAGGATTTTTTCAGATTTCCCGAGTCTGAGTTGATCCAAACCTTCCCATCCACACCAGAAGGGCCTTTATCCTCCCGGCTTCCTCTGAACCAGGAGCAAACGGTAGGCCTGACCCGCCACTCCCACCACAGGCCCAAGCAAAGCCCTCAATCTCACACCTGGGTCAGCCCAGAACAGGGCCAGTCTCAGAGGAAAGGAGACCCTTCCCTCGACCCATGCACACAGTTTAACAGAAGAAAGCGAACTTTCTGCTCTATTAAAGCTCTGTATAAATCTTTAATTAGAATAAAGAAATTAAGTCTTGGCTTGTTGGCCATACCTCACACAAATCAGTTGAGTTTCCACGTAGATTTCAAGGCAAACCTTGTCAAACAAAACACACAAGGTCAGTATTCAAAAGAGGGCAGCACAAGGGCAGTGACACTTAGACACAGAAGGTCTCTAGGAACATAAAGCTCCTATGTGTGTGCGTTTGGCTAATCATGTTCTTAATGTCTCAAAATTATAAATATTACCCTGCATATATTTGGTTGCATTTCCTTCCTCAATCAACTCTAAATGCATAGGACGCTTACGTATGTTTCTGCTCTTTTTTTTTTCTTTTGGGGCACTGAAAAACCGATACCAGAAGGGCCCCTGTCTTCCCAAGTTCCTTTGGACCAGGAGGCAACAGGAGACCTGATGTTTTTATTTTTCCTCCTGTGAGACTGGACTCCTGAAACCCAGCACACATACACTTTCACAGAGCCAAGTTCATGTGTTCACAGTTGCAAACTAAAAGGAGACATTTTCAGCAACTTCTGAATAATTGGAAACAGGAGACTCTAACTACTACCCCCATTAATTCTCTCATATATGACGGGGATTCTAAAAACCCAGAATTTATTTTTAAAGAAATGTGAATTTAGTCTTACATGTTTAAACTCCAGTCACCTTCAATGTTCTCTCCATTTCATGCAATACACCAGTGGAGATGCTTTTCCCACTGCTCAAAACAGTTTTTGAACTCATCAATGTAAATGCCTTTTAGTGCTTCTGCTGTTTTTTGTTTCACCTCTTCCACACTGGCAACACATTTCCTTTGAGAACTTTCTTCATTTGGGGACACAAAAAAGGTCCATCAGGGAGTGATCGGGTGAATAGGGAGGATGGGGCACAGGGGTCGTGCCATTTTTAGACAAAAATTGCTGAACACTCAGGTGGTGTGGGCAGGTGTGCTCATAAATCACCCATCATGAAATAGGCAAACATGTTGAAAGAATCTCAAAAAAAGAAAAATTCACTGACGCTGAGCACAGCCTCTTACAACAACGCTAGCTGGGAAACTGATGCCAATGAGTTCCTAGAACACTTACCTAGTGGGGAAGCCTATACGATAAGGTGCCTGCCCTCCAAAAGATAATTCCAGGTTTTTTGGGGTGTGTGTATATGTGTGTGTGTGTATTCATGTGTGTATGTATGTATACACACATTTGTGTGTGTGTGTATTCGTGTGTGTGTGTATATACACACACACACACATTTCTGGACAGAAAAAACTGGACCAAATTAGTCACTGCTTCTAACACACAGTGATTCTTTTTCAGGCATGTTCATATTGCAGAAGTGTGGAAAAACAGCTTTTTTACTAGTGGCTAGATAACACTCTAATGAGAGGAGACTCTACTCTCAAAGAAATGTTGTAGAAATAATTCAGGTCTCCAACTCTCCTGTAATCATAGACATTAGCTCACTGAATCTGCACTTACGATCACTCCTGTTATACAGAGGGAGAACTTGAGGCTTGGCAGCTCATGTCAGGAAAACGTACACCTGTTTCCTGCCCTTCTTGCCCCAGAGCCTGAACACTCAATGTTCTGCACTTCGCTGTTGTTCCTTAATGACATGTGCAGAGATTTCTCCCTATTGGTGTGTAGAGATCTCAGCTGTGTCCTTTCAGTCTGGCTCGTTTTCCCTGGCTGCCAGAAAAAGAAAGACTGTAGAGGTCCTCTCTGAGGCCCTCAAGTGAACCATGTTTGTAATTCTCAGAGGAATCAGAGACAGGATGACCAGGGGCACATGCGGGGCTCCCAGGAGACCAGCAGCACCAGCTGGCAAGTATGATTAGCTGACTTCTCCCCTGGTGCAAGAGATGCAAGGATATACAATATCACTTGCCCCTGTAGGCAGTAGGGTTTGGATACCTGCCCTGGTGTTGACCTTGTTTTTAAATTTTCTCCAGGCACCCAAGACTTTGAAATTACCTCCTATCTCAGAAGAACCGCCCAGAGTTCTGGACCCCCTGGGGTGCCCATTTAAAGCCAAGGAACCCCCAACAGAGCTCTTCATCTTCCCAGTAGAGATTCATTTCCACACCCACCACCCTCTAAAAGAAAAACCCCACAGAAGAGGTAGGTCCAGTGTGCATGGATGCTCCTGTGGGAACTCGGGCAGGCCAGGAAGGACTGGGACATGGGGTCCTGTCAACCCAACACATCCCTACATCATGGCTGACCTACCCCAGGGCCACGCCCTTCAGAGAAGGTCCAGGCATGGTGTCTCCTCCCTGTAATTCCAGTATTTATGGAGACCAAGGTTGAAGGATTGCTTGAGCCTAGGAGTTTGAAACCACATAGCAAAACCTTGTCTCTACAAAATTTTTTTTAAAACTTAGCCGGGGCATGGTGGTGCATGCCTGTAGTCCCAACCACTCAGGAGGCTGCGGTGGAAGAATTGCCTGAACCCAAGAGGTCAAGGCTACCATGAGCCATGATCATTGTGACCATGCCACTGCACTTCAGCCTGCATGACAGAGTGAGATCCTGACTCAAAAAAAGAGAAGGAAGGAAGGGAGGGAGGAAGACCACCTATTGGGTAAAAGTTCGCTATGTGTGCACCGAAAGCCCAGACCTCACCACTATGCAATATAATCTATAAAACACAACTTCACTTGTATCCCTAAATCCATAAACATAAAAATTTTAGCCGGGCTCGATGGCTCAGACTGTAATCCCGTGCCTTTGGGAGGCTGAGGTGACTGGATTGCCTGAGCCCGCGGGTTCGAGACCCGCCTGGGCAGCGAGACCTCATCTCTATAATAATCAAAAGATCAGCCGGGCGTGGTAGCGCATGCCTGTAATTCCGGCTACTCGGAAGGCTGAGGCGGAAGGATCGCCGGAGCCCATAGGTCAAGGCTGCGGTGGCCGGGAGCGGCCACTGCACTCCAGTCTGGGCGACAGAGTGAGATAAAAATTTTAAAATATTTTTTCAAAATAGAAGTGAAAAGGGTGAAATCTAGAAAGACATAGGTCTCTTCTGGTCACATTCGATTAGGCTTTTTAAATACTTCTTAAACCTTCATTAGGCAGTGCATTCTTTTCAACTGCAGAAGAGAAAGGAAGACAGCATATAGGCATAAATCTGCCCAGCACACCATGGCCGTCATAACAGTGTAAGAATTGTCAGGCAATTTACAAAAAAATAAGTACAACATAAAACTAAGCCAGGTGTGGTAGTTCACACTTGTAATCCTAGCACTTTGGGAGGCCAAGGTGGGAGGATCACTTGAGCCCAAGAGTTCGAGACCAGCCTGGACTACATAGCGAGACCTCGTCTCCACAATAAATCAAAAAATTAGCCGGACATGGTGGCACCCACCTGTAGTCCCAGTTACTCAGGAGGCTGAGGCAGAAGGATGGCTTGAGTCCAGGGGTTAGAGGCTGCAGAAAGCCATGATCACACCACTGTACTTCAGCCTGGGCAACAGAACAAGACCTTGTCTCTAAAAAAAAGAATAAAATGAAATAACAACTAAAATTGAAATTGGGAAAAGAAAAAAATCCTGGTTAAAAGGTATAAAGAAGGCCAGGTACAGTGACTCACACCTATAATCCCAGCACTTTGGGAGACGGAGACAAGAGGAGCCCAGGGGCTCGAGACCAGCCTAGGTAACTTGGTGAGACCTCATCTCTACAATAAATAAAAAATTAGCTGGGTACACACCTATAGTCCCAGCTACTTGGGAAGTTGAGGCCTCAGGTCACCTAAGCCCAGCAGGTCAAGGCTGTGTGAGCTATGAGTGTGCCACTGCACTCCAGTCTGGGCAACAGAGTGAGACTCTCACACACACACAAAAAAGAGTAGAGAATAGATGTTATCAGACATCTGGGATGAATTCGTTGCTTTATGTAAGCACTGGATTTAGCTGAGTTCCCTAGCAGCCAAAGTAAAAAGGATATCTGAATCTTTGCATCTTCATTTATAAAAGATAAACGTTTGTTCAAAGAGTTATTTTCCTGATTTTGATCTAGGTTATTGTGTAACAGAAGACCTCTACAATCCTTGCCAGAGCAGAGATTTTGTGCTTCTAAGCAAAGTTCTAAGAGAGTATAGGCAAGGGAGAGATCAATTCCAAGTACAAATGTAGGGAGGATTTTTGGAGGGCTTCTGAGTGACCTCTCACCCTTTATCACAAGGAATAATTCCTTCTGACCTTCCTCAGTCATTCCATAGGCCGCCTGCCATAATACATTGTTGCTCCTGGGACATCTCTGGGCCAAAGACAGTCCCAATTCTTTTTTTTTTTTTTTTGAGTTGGAATCTCATTCTGTCACTCAGACTGGAGTGCAGTGGCTGCTCCCAGCCACTGCAGCCTCCACCTGCTGGGCTCCGGTGATCCTTTCACCTTAACCTTTCAAGTAGCTGGGACTACAAGCGCGCGCTACCACGTCCAACTAATTTTTGATTTATTGTAGAGATGAGGTCTCGCCAAGTTGCTCAGGCAGGTCTCGAACCCATGGGCTCAGGCAATCCACTCACCTCGGCCTCCCAAAGCACTGGGATTACAGGCTGAGCCACCGAGACAGTCCCAATTCTAACTTTTTTTTTTAAATTGGAGTCTCACTCTGTCGCCCAGGCTGGAGTGCAGTAACACACTTACAACCACCCCAGCATCGACCTGCTGGGCTCAGGCAGTCCTTCTGCCTCAGCCTTCTAAGTAACCGGAAATACAGGTGCACGCTACCATGCCCGGCTAATTTTTTATTTATTGTAGAGACCAAGTCTCGCCAAGTTGCCGGGACCGGTCTCAAACCTGCAGGCTCAGGCCATCCACTCACCTCGGCCTCCCAAAGTGCTGGGATTACAGGCTGAGTTACCGAGCCCAACCTATTTCTAACTTTTCTAGAAACTTCAGCAGAAACTGCCACTGATTTCTCAGAGAGTTTTTTCTCCTGGGAACCACATAGGCAGCCATTTTGTTCTAAAGCCATTTGAAATTCTCACTATGGGAAGAACACCTGATAGTTGAGCTTAAAAGGCCAGTCAATGGAAGGGGGCATAAAGAAATTACCTAGGGTGGCAAAAATGTTCTAAATCTTGGTTGGTTGTGTGGGTTACACATTTGTCAAAACTCATTGAATTGTAGGCTTAAGATCTGTGCATTTTATTACATGTAGCTCTTAATTTTCCAAAGAAAATGACTCAGCTTCTACAAAAAAAAAACAAAAAAACACTAACACAGAGTGATTTAAAATATAAGTCTTTCTTTCTTTTTCTTTTTTTCTGAGTTGGCATCTCACTCTGCTGCCCAGGCTGGAGTGCACTGGCATGATCATTCCCCACCGCAGCCTCAGCTTCCAAGGCTCAGACAATCCTTCCACCTCAGCCTCCCAAGTAGCTGGGACTACAGGCACGTGCCATCACGCCCAGCAACTTTTTAAGTTTTTTGTAGAGATGAGGTCTTGCTATGTTACCCAGGCTGCTTGCTCTCAAACTCCTGGACTCAAGCAATCATCCTGTCTTGGCCCCCCAAAGTGCTAGGATTACTCCTGAGCCCAGGAGGTGGTCGAGGCTATAGTGAGCCATGATCATGCCACTTCACTCCAGCGTAGGCAACAGAATGAGAGCCAGACTATCTTTTTAAAAAAAAAAAGCTCTTGCAGAAATCACCTCTGATTGGCAAGGTTGGGTCATGTGTCCACTCCGGAACCAGTACTGCGCTGAGGCACTCTGCCACCCCTGTCTTCAGTTCCAGGCCCATCCCCGGAGTCTGTGAATGCACACAGCTTCACCCAAACCACATGTTGTCAGCAGGAGATGGGTAGGTCCCCAAAAGGAAGAGATACCCGACAAAGACACAGACATCTCTACAACTCTGTCTCCTCTTCGTCTCCTAGGTGCTCTACACCCTGAGTCGGTACCAGAAGCAGAAGAGACCAGGCCTTCATGGAGGTCTCCCCTGAAGCATGCGTCCTTAGAGAGGCCACGGGAGCTAAGAGTACATCTCCCAGTGGACACCGGCAGAGACACACCTTCACCTCAAGGTGGCTGCTCCCACCCGCCAGCATCCCTTGGGAATCTCACTCTGAAGGGAAGCCAGGCAAGACACATACAGGCCTGCAGCCTGGAGGAAGGAGGCTGGAAGGGAGGTTAGTCCATCCTCAGCCACTGAAGATGTCTCTTGTCCAGGCAGCAGCTGCCTTCCCTAGGGTGTGGTGGTGAAACTAACTCACCAAGTCATCTTGCTACTAATATTTTCTGATTGCAGATGTAAAATGACACCAAACTCACTAAAGCTCTGCTGCATGTGCATGCCCTATAATTAAGCCTATATCTTTAAACCATGAAATTTCATTTCTAATTTGTTTGTAAATAAGGATTTATTCATGAAGAAAATCCATAATAGCAATAAGTCTTCACTGTTACCCAGTGTGGTGGCTCACGCCTGTAATCCCACCACTCTGGGAGGTGGAGGCCAGAGGATTGCCTGAGCCCAGGGGTTCGAGACCAGCCTGGGCAACATGGAGAGACCTTTCTCTACAAAAAATAAAAAAAATTAGCCAAGTGTAGTGGCATGCACCTGTAGTACCTGCTACTTGGAAGGCTGAGGCGGAAGGATCGCCTGAGCTCAGGAGGTCAAGGCTGCGATAGCCGTGATCGTGCCACTGCACTCCAGCCTGGGTGACAGAGTGAGACTCAAACTCAAAAAAAATCTTCATTCCAGTTTTTCAAAAATATCCTATGGACACTTGAAATTACATGCGTAGAACATCTAAGAGTATATGTTCACTAGGCTGGAAGATTGGCCATATTTAGAAAGCTCCCTATTTTCAGAAAACTGAGCCTCCTTTTTGGAAGGCATATACAAGATGACAGTGTCACCAGCGTCGAGTGATCTCTGCCTACTGGCATCAGAAGTAGAAAGCCTCACATTCATGTGTAGGGTGGTTCCTGCTCTGCGCTGGGCACTGTTCTTAGTTTTCAGCATGTGTTCGGTCAGGTCCTCCTCATAACCACCCGTCCTCATTTTACAGATCAGAAAACCAAAGCCCTGAGAGATGAATACCTTGTTAGAAGCCACACAACTCGAAGGGGTTGGAGATCAGGCCTTCGAGTGCCAGCATCCATGCTCTTACCCACGATGCCCCACTGCCACTCAGAATAAACCAAACACCGAGCCTAGTCAGGACATTCTGAAACACCTGGGTTCCAAGAACATCCTTTGATTCTTGGGACAGAGGTTTATTTGGTCAGTCTCTCTCTCTCTCTCTCTCTCTCTCTCTCTCTCTCTCTTTTATCTCTTATCAGCACTTATCTACTAAAATATTCTCCCTCCTAAGCACAATACAACATTCACATTCAAGAAAGTTAAAAGTGGTATAATAATATTTTCTCATTTAAATTTCTCTAATTATACCAACAATGTGCCTTATAAAACCCAGAATCCAACTCAGGATCATGCAGTCACATCTCTTTAGACTCTTTCAATCTAGAACAGTTTTCCAGCCTTGTTTTTATGACATTGACGTGTTTGAAGAAGATAGACCAGTGGCTTTGCAGAATTACCCTCAACTGGGATTTGTCCATTTTCTCGTAATGAGACTGAGAGCAAACATTTCTTGCAGGAGTATCACACAGGTGAAGCTTGTCCTTCTGAGCACATGACATCGAGGGACATGGAATGTCCATATGTTCCAATATAGAGGATGTTAAGTGTTACTATTTGGTGAAAGCTGGTGTCTGCCAAATTTCCCCATTGGAGAGACTTTTCTCTTGTGTGATAAATAAGTTGTCAGGGATATCTTGAGGCTGTGTGTGAAGCCAGTTTTTAAACCCAAGTAGCAACAGTTGTATTGAATATGAAATAAAGACCACGCTCTGAAAGAGAGGAAGCCAAGCCTCAGTCACCCAGATTCCTGGACTCCAGCCTTCCTAGAGCAGTCCCTGCTGGAGCTGGGAAGAGGGAGGAGAGGTAGAGGGTAGGTGTGCCTCAGGGAGTGTTGTCCCCCATCCCGATGCCCTCTGACTATTATCCGGAGGTGGTACTTGGTACCTTCAGTGCCTTGAGGAAAGAATGTGACCCTTGGCTCTGCCTCACAAAATTGCCTTAGTCAGAAATCTGTATCCACTAATCCCATGAGCTCCGAAGCTGGGGTCTCCCTAGCCAGAGCCTTCAGATCAAGGGTGGAAAGAGTCAGCCTCCCTGGTCCTAGGACCTGTCCCTTGTCCTGGGATCCATCTCAGGGTCTCACCTGCAAGGCAGGAACAATCAACACCAGACTCCACTCTGCCTATCCTTAGCAACTGCCCATTTAAAGGGCCACTAATCTAGTCAAGAGTAATTTTGGCCACCGGAGACATCTGCTCCCTGCCCCTTAGCAGGGCTGGAAAAGAGGGACAAACTGTGAATGGGGGGAATAAACCATGCTGAACCCCAGGAGCCACCGACCAAGTAGAAGCGAAGTTCATTCACCTTCTGGCTGACCTGGGAGTTTCCTATGCTTTTCTCCTTTTGTTTCTGAAGATGTTGATGCCTCACCCCAGAATGTGACCCCACCACGACTTCTTCTACAACCGATGAAAGGGAGAAAAAGTCCAGAGAGCAAGAAGGGCCTGGACAGTTGCCGGATGTCAGGCCACAGCACATCAGGCCGCAGCGGCTCCCCAGGTGCCCCGAATGTGAGCACACCCAAGAGGGCGCTGCCAGCAGGACAAGGTAATCCTCTGGGAGTATGTGGATGCCCCCCCACATTGGCTTGTCTCCAGGGCCACATGCAGCTATGGTGTCTGTGGTCACTGAAAGGGCCGCGGACAGTGTTTACGACGCCATCTGGGGTCACCGGTCACCACTGCGTTCCTGAGCATTGGTGCATGTCTCAGGGTTTGCTGCACCCACATACTCTGTCACACTGCTCTGTCCTTCCCCACTCCTGGCTCAGCCTTTGATGGCAGCTCCTTGCATCCCAGGAGATACCCCTGAGAGACCAGGCACAGCCCACTCTGAGCCGTAACCCAGCCCCAGGGCCTGGGAGCCTACAGACCCTGCCCATAGGAGGAGTCTCCAGACAGGGGCCACCCTCCAGCCTAGGACAGAGCTGGAGGCCCATTCACAGTGAAGCAAGGACCAGGGGTGTCCACGGGAGACAAGGCAGGGCAAGACCAGGCCCTCTGTGACCTGGCCCTGCTCAAGGTGCTTGTCCTTGAGGAGCTGGTGGTCCAGGAGGGAACAGAGGTGCTGACACAGCAGCAATGCAAGGACAGCACCCCGGCAGCTCCCACAGGGTGTGACAAAGAAGCTTGCAGAGCAAAAGTTGCTCAGAGTCCCAGTCACCCCTAAAAACTCCTAGAGAAGGGCCACGCTTGGGACGGACAGATAGAAGGCGGCACAGGCAGCTGCTCCTCCTGGGTGGCAGCCTTGGTGCTCTCTCTCGGATTGAGCACCGGATGATGGGCATGTGTTTGGGGAACAGACTGTGTGAAGAAGAGGGTCTCTGTGACCAGCAGAATCACACTCTGGGCTGTGAGGAGCTCACACTGAGAGGCACATGGGAATGGAGGGTGTCATAGAGGCAGCAGGTGCCACGGCTTGCATCTCACACTCCCTAGGGACAGAAAGCCTGGGTGTTTAAGTCTCTTTCCTCCTCTCTCCCTCTCTCTGTCTGTCTCTCTCTCTCTCTCTCTCTCTCTCTCATTCTCTCTGTCTGTCTCTTTCCCTTTTCCCTCTTTGTCTCTCTCTCCCCCACCCCCAAAGATGCTGTCTTCCCTTAGAAACCATTCCGGGGCTGGAACTTCTCTTTCATCCCCCGTTATACTTGTGTGGCAATGATCCTCTTTTAACATTCATACAAATGAACCAAACTGCCATGTCCGCACCAGGGCATTCCTAGAGGTGGCATGGCCCAGGACAGATCACACCAGCCAGTAATGCACACCTGCTCTTAGACACGCTAATAAAGAGAGGCTCTGACTGGAACAGAATGCCAGGACCGTGGCTCTGACAGGAGGACAGGCTGGATCTTCTGTGTGTGCTGGGTGTGTGCCTGTGTGAGTGAGTGTGCTCACCAACACATGCGTGTCTCTGCTGTGAGAGGTATGTGTGTGCTCATATGTCCATGTGAGGGCATGTGTGTGCATGAGTGTGTGCGTGTCTAGACACGTGATCCTGTGAATATGTATACATGTTCATGTATGTGTGTCATTGTTCATGGAGATGGGGCCTTGGAGATGGGGCGGAAAATGTGGTGTCGGGAGAAATCAATTCAGTCTTAGTCCCTGGTTTCTATTACTGAGTGTCATTTGTCATTCATGGTGAGCCCCTTTGAACATGTGGAGTTTATGTTAATGAGGTGTATTAGGTGGGGCCCCTAGTGGTCTCAGGAGGGGGCCAGTCTCCAGAAAGAACAAGCAATTAGAGGATTCTAGGGATGAAGCCTCCAGCCCCACCCGTCACCTCCAGAAAAGGAGATCAAGCTCATTGAAAAGTGTGGAACAAGAGCTGATGAGCATCTGGGTTGCTGACCACACAGAGGTGCTGGGCGGGTGGCTCACCCAGGAAGGGCACAGGGCAATGCCCACCACCACCCCCACCTCACTATGCGTCTCCCCAGCAGGCTGCTCTTCTGTGTTCTTCATAATGTCCCTTATACTAAACGAGTAAACCTGAACGTTTCCCTGAGTTCCATGAGCCACTACAGCAAATGAATTGAACCCAAGGGGAGGGGATTGTGAGAACCCTAATTACCCAATTTGTAGCCAGTCGTCACAACCTGGGACTTGTAAGTCGGTGTCTTTAGTGGGAGCGATCTTGTGGACTGAGCCCTTAGCCTGTGGGATCTGATGTAATCCCCAGGTAGATAGTGTCAGAGTTGAGCTGACTTACAGGACACCAGCTTGGTGTCTGCTAGAGACCTGCTTGGTGTGGAAAACCCCCAGACATCTGGTCACAGAAGCATTCTGGGTGAGTGCAAGAGTAGAGCAGGGGAAAAAAAACTTTTTTTTTTTGAGTTGGAGTCTCACTATCGCCCAGACTGGAGTGCAGTGGCCGCTTCCGGCCACCACAGCCTCGACCTGCTGGGCTCTGGCGATCCTTCCACCTCAGCCTTCCAAGTAGCTGGAACTACAGGCGCACGCTACCACGCCTGGCTAATTTTTGATTTATTGTAGAGATGAGGTCTCGCCTGCCCAGGCGGGTCTCAAACCCGCGGGCTCAGGCAATCCACTCACCTCAGCCTCCCAAAGGCGCTGGATTACAGACTGAGCCACCGAGCCCGGCAAAAAACATTTTTTACTTTTGCAGTAAGGTTCTAGAAATGCCTTCACTCCTTCCAAGTAGCTAGGGAAACAGCTTCCTCCTCTTGGCCTGCGTCCTGGCGTCACCAGGCCTGTCCAGCATTTGGTCCCCAGGATACGGCTGTACAGGCTGAGTACTGCGCAAGGCATCTGACAGAGAAGCAGGAGTCACCCAGTCCTGCACCACAGGCAAGACTGCTCACTCCTGGAGGAAGAGGTCCCTTTCCTTCTCACAAAGCACCCCTCTCCCCTCCAGCCTAAGCCTGGCCCTGAAGTTCCCAGAGGGGCCATGTTTTCTAGCCTCTTTCTTTTTTTTTGAGTTGGAATCTCACTCTGTCGCCCAGACTGGAGTGCAGTGGCCGCTCCCAGCCACCGCAGCCTCGACCTGCTGGGCTCCAGCAATCCTTCCGCCTCAGCCTTCCAAGTAGCTGGAATTACAAGCATGCACTACCGCCCCCGGCTGATTTTTTGATTTATTGTTTTTTTTTTAATTTATTTCTAGAGATGAGGTCTCGCTGCCCAGGCGGGTCTTGAACCCGCGGGCTCAGGCAATCCACTCACCTCAGCCTCCCAAAGGTGCAGGATTACAGGCTGAGCCACCGAGCCCGGCTGTTTTCTAGCCTCTTTCAAAGGCATGGCCCAGGCAATGGCAGCCCCTCCCTGGGATCCCACCCTGATCTCTGAGGGCAGGGCTTAAACCACCCTGATGTATTGAAGCACAGGAGTAGGGCTCACCCATGCTCTGGCGAGCACCTGAGCTCATGGGCATCCGCGGGCATGTGCCTACCAGGGATGAGGGGATCACGGTTCGGGCTCAGTCTCCCTCGCCTGCTAACACTGCCTGTGCATGTGTTTGTTTTCCAGAATATTCCAAAAACCCCACACTGGGACACTTCTCGCTAGGTTCAGATGGAGAAAAAGTCTACCAGTCCCTCCCAGGGCCTACCCAGAGCAAGGTGCTTCCATTGGCTGCAGGTAAGATAACACGTTCCAGGGCAGCCTTGTTTTCAGAGGGGAAGATTTTACCTGGAGCTTCCAAATTTTCCCAGCAGCAGAGACATCATTAAAAACAGACGCGAGTCAGCCAGGTTCCCCCCTTGCTGACACAGAGGCGCTTCTGTGGCTCAGACACAATAGCCCAATGTTCACATGACAAGTTGACTCTTGCTTGGGCATCCAGAGAGAGGAGTTCCAGTGGGATGATGGCTGGGAAGAGGTCTGTGGGCCACGCGGAGGCTGATGAGATGATAAAGTCCTCCTGGTATTCGCCCAAGCCAAACACGGCCTTTCTCCTCTTCCCACCCCCCTTCAGAGGTGGAGGCGGCTAATTGGTCACCCAGTCAGGTGGCCTTGTTCTGAGTGTTGCTTCATCATGTGAGTCATCTGGCTCCTGACAGATAGCAAGGCCGCTTCCAAAACCCTCTGGCACATTCACTTTTTGGGAAAGAGACGCTGGCTCTGGGCAAGAACCATTTTGCAAAGGAATAAAGCAATGAAGTCAGAGGGTAATGAGCGTTCGCCACCCAGAAACCACCACGATGTGTACGCAGTCCCTCCACAAGCAGGCCCTTGGCAGGGATGTAAGGCTGCACTCACCTGGTGGGCTCTGTCCCGACAGGCTTAACCAAACCAGCATGGAGCCAGAGCCAGGATGTTTGAGTAGCTCTGGCCTGTCCTCTAATTTCTAGGTGGCTCTAGGTCAGTCCCCCATCCTCCCTGTACCCAAGGTCCCTCAACCAAAGTGAAAGAACCAACTCCCCCACTGAGACATTCCTTGACTATTGCTGCTTTTTCCAACTTGTGTCTGCTGCTGTTGGAGTAGCCACCTAGAATACGGATTTCCAGAAAGCAGGATGTGTTTGGTTCCACATTCAGCATCAAAGAACTTCCATCACCACTTGGTTTATGCCGTGATATGAGTATAAAAATATCTTGCTTCTGAACTGGCGGAAGCAGGGGTTAGACAGGTGGAGGCCACTGTCAGCAGGACACAGCGGGCACAACAGCGGGTACAGCAGCTGAAAAGCAAATGTGATTCTATTTACCTGCTGCACGTTTGTCCCCTGTTCCAGGAGAAATTGTTCCCCTTTTGGGAGAACAAAAACCAAGAGCAGAAAGGGACATATTTAGGCTTGAAGTTTGTTGTCACCATTGTCCATAGGATGCTTCAGTTGTTTCAGTACCCTGGGTACCAAGCATGGTCCCTGACAAATCCATGGCAGGTTCACAATGAATGTTTATTGGAAAAATTTGAAAACCTTTCAGTAATTTCCACATGAGACAGAGAGAGAGGTGAGACCTACCCTGCTGAAGACTTGCCTGCCATCTTGTCCAGTCCCATGGACGATACATTTCCTCCTGCTTGCCTCTCAAATCCTAAGGCATTCACTGTGTGCTTGTTGAATGAATGAATGAATCACTGTTAGTCAGTCATTGGCCTCTCGGGGCTTTTCCCCATGGACAGTTGGTTGACCTTCCATCTTGATGGTGCTGGATGAGACCCGGAAGATAGGGAAGGATGTAGAGCAGGTCTAGCTTTCCAAGAGTCCATATTCATGGCGAAGCGTGTTTTGTTTTGTTTTGTTGAGTCAGAATCTCACTCTGTCACCCAGGCTGGAGTGCAGTGGCACACTCACAGCCAGTGCAGCCTCGACTTGCTGGGCTCAGGCGATCCTTCCACCTCAGTTTTCGAGGCAACTGGGACTATAAGTGCGCACCACCACACCTGGTCAATTTTAAAAATTTGTTGTAGAGACAAGGTCTCACCAAGTTGCCCAGGTTGGTCTCAAAGCCCTGGGCTCAGGCAATCTTCTTGCCTCGGCCTCCCAAAGCGCTGGGATTACAGGCATGGGCCACTGCGCCCAGTGGAAAGGGTTTTATGGTTTTTGTTGTTTTGTTTTGTTTTGTTTTTTGGTTTGGTTTGAGCAGCAGTATACTAAAAATCTTTTTCCTCTTGCAAGGGAATTGCTTCAATCACACCAAACTCCTTGCAGCTCAGCTGGCTCAAACCTTCATGATCACCATCTCCACCCCCTCCTGCTGGCTCCTCCCCAACCAATTCCAAGCCTTCCCTTGCTCATCTCTGTAACAACGGGCCCCGACATTCAGTCTTCATTCTTTTCCCTCCAAGCATTGGCCCAAGTTGCCCTAAAATATTTAGAAGAGCTTCTTGTTCATCTTTCCTGGGACATTTTCCTTCCTAAATCCACCCCCACTGCCCACAGCTGCCTAGATACAGCCTCAGCCTCTCCTGTCTCTCTCAGCCCCACTCTTGTGGTTATTGTACATCTCCATCTGTTTTCTGTTAGCTCCCAATCCAGTGCATGAGTCCTAGAGAACGTCTTCTCTCTAGCACATGCACAAGAAATGCTTGTTGATTGAATATCCCAGGTGCTGCAAAGCACAAAGTCAAGTTCTTTGGGGAGCATAGTTTTGTTTTTGTTTTAAATAAAAAAACAACTCTTGAGTAAAGGAAGGAATATGATCTATCTGATCTTTCTGAGACTTTCAGACTCAACAATTATTTGGAAATAAATTCTTAGGCAATTAGATCATATCTTGCTTCAGACCTCATAGAGAAATGAATATAAACCTTCAGAAGAAAATAAAAAAGATGTGAAGACTAGAGCTGGAGTTTGACCCTGACGGTCATGTTGGGATATTGCAACATTTAGAAAATTGAAAGACTTACGAAAGGAAAAGTTAACTTGGAAGGATACAAGTCAAAATGATGGATACGCTCTCTGAATCACTTACCCTTGATTCAAAAATCCTTCATCTATCCTCCTAGTCACTATGCCAGCAATAGAAGTTTTCTCTCAGAAGTTCTTTTATTCAGAAGTTTGTTTTGCAAGAAGTTCAAGGATATTATGCCAACGATACCGGTTAGAGCTTCAAGTTGCATGTCAATTTAAATTCCTGGTCTCTTTCAGAGTTTCTAAATAGTGTTTGTTCTTGTCCTAAATGAATTTTTATCCCTAAAATCTTTCTTGGCTTCTTGGTCATTTAATTAGCATCCTTTCTCCTTACAACTCTTTCTTGATGTCTGGTTTTAAAATAAGTCTACAAATTCTTGGCCACCTCTCCCTTCAAAAGGGAGAAGCTAACTCTCCTCACCTTGAGTATGAGCTGGATAAAGTGGCTCACCTGTAACAGACAGAGAAGGGGTGGTGTGCGACTCCCGAGACTGAGTCATAAAAAGCACTATGGCTTCCTTCTCTCTCTCTCTCTCTCCCCGCCCCCCCCAACTCACTCTGGAGAAAACCACCTACCATGCCTGTCATGAGGCCCCTCAAGCAGCCCAGTGGCAAGCGGTCCATGTGGCAAGGAACTAAAGACTCTGCCAACGCCAGAGGGAATTTTCCAGGCCTGTGAGCAAGCTGCCTCGTGGGGAGGTTCCCAGCCCCAGTCAAGTCTTCAGATGACTGCATACCTGGCTGGCACTGTGACCTCATGAGAGCCTGCACCAGATCCACACACCGTGGCCATCCCCAGATTCCCACAGGAGCTGTATGAGACAGAACACGAGTGCGTTACTTGAAGTCACTAGGTTTAGGGGCGATTTGTTCTGCAGGAATAGATAACTATTATGCTTGGTGTCATTTCCTGATGGCCTGTGATTGGTAAGCAGAAAAATAAAGGGTCCAAGAATATCTCAGCTGGTCTCAAAACACTGATTATTTGGAGCAAACATATGCTAAGTGGTGATAAGTTGGTGGTGGGGCCCCACAGGTAAAAGAATCCTTCCATGTTGGTGGGATATTTGGCAAGGTATGATTTTCCTTGAGTAGTGTATCTCTTAGTAGCTGTTACCTCTGTGACAATGCCTGGAGATTTAAAAGAGAATTTTGTTAAATGAGGCCACATGAGGAAGAAGAAAAATCTCTGCTCTTATTCCCGGCTCTACCACTCAGAATTTCTGTGCTCGTGTACAAATAACTGCTCTGCTTTGGACTTCAGCTTCTGCCGATGTCCCGTAAAGCACCAATTCCTCAGAAGGTTAACAGGCATAACATAGAAAAGGAAAGGCTCTAGGGCTAAACACATTTGGAGACTTGGACTTTGGGACTAAAGTCAAACAGTACACTACTGCAGGACTTCATAGAATCTCTAATACAAATCTGACAATTAAGTTCACGAACTCATCCTAGAAAAAGTTCTACACATTTCATTGCTGAATATCACTATGTCACCTTCAAAGTACTCCCCTTGGGAAGCTATGCACTAATGCCAGCACCTAGTCCACCTGTCAAGCAATTTTGGAACTCTTTTTCTGGAATGGTCATCAGAGCTATTGTTGCATTAACCTTGAAGTCCTGGATGTCATAAAAAAAAGTCTTCCTTTATCTTTGGGTAAAGAAAAAGTCATTGCAGGCCAGATCTGGTGAGTAGGGAGGGTGTTCCAATATAGTTATTTGTTTACTGGCTAAAAACTCCCTCACAGACAGTGCTGTGTGAGCTGGTACATTGTCGTGATGCAAGAACTCCTTCAGGACCATTTTTGTACACATCTTTCTCATGGCAAAATTTCATTTAAGAGTTTCCTGTTTCTAGACTGATGTTTATTTAGTCTATGTTCCTCCCAGTCAGCTGTCGATTTTGACTCACAGTTAAATGATATTTTTGCAATGTTTTTGTCAGTTCTGCCTGTTACTGGCCATCCTGACCTCTCTTCAACAGTGATGCTTTCTCTCTCCTCAGAACAACGTTTAATCCATTTGTACACTGCTGTTTTCTTCATGGCATTATCCCCATAAACTGGGACTAACATGTTCCTGATTTCACTTCCACTCTTACCCAGTTTAACAAGAAATTTAATGTTTATGTTGCTCTAATTCAAGCTCTGATATTCTCGTGACAATACACAAAAACGTGCAACAACTATAACAGATGCCACTCAGCAAGACACCACCACATGTCTACCGACAAAGCTGTGAGACACTGATATACCCAGGTTATGAAACCTTACTGAGTTGTTTGTACAGTGCTGCCAACGTTAGCACACGGTAGCAAGTTTGCAGACTTGTCAGACCTCGTCTGCTGATGTGAACCATGTTCCTCGAGACCAGATATGCACTGTCTCCCTAACTTATTTGACCACTAAATACTTTTGTTTTTAGTAGAGCATTTGTGTGGATCTAAATAGTTTTCAGAACACACTTTGGAAAATGCTAAACTGGTAGTTTCTAAGGCTCCTCTAACACTGTGTGTTTCTAAATATGCCCCTTTCCCCAGGAGACTCTCTCAGGGAGGCAGTTCTGTCGTCTAAATCCTGAAACAGACTCTCAGATATTCCATAATTCATGACTGTCCTTATTTTTATTCTCCAAGCATAAATTCCAAGCCATTGGGTCCGCCCACCTACCTCTGGACTCCTACGTAAAAAAGAAATCAATGTTTTAGAGTCTCTTTCAGCAACTTACCTTGTGCCTTCACAGAATGCAACCACGATGATGTCCGCCAACCTGCTTCACATTGCTTTGTGAAAATCAAACTGGATCGTTTGCACTCCACCTTGTAAAGTATTAAGCAAATTCCAAGATGAAATATCATCAGACCTATAAGAGAGCAGGCCTGTTCACACACGTGACTGACTCCTTGAGCACAATGTACTCACATACCTGTCATGCACCAGGGAGACCACCCTGCCATGACTTCTCATCCCATCATCCCAATAGTCTGGGGAGTGAGCATTTTCATCCGCACATCACAGGTGAGGACACAGGCACACAGAGTGTTCCCTTCCCAGGCCCGGCTGTCCCAGAGGCTGAGTCTCCGCACCAGCTCCCGAGGCTCCACGCCAGATACCACGGTCACAGCCCCCGAGGACCTCACAGGCCATGTGGAGGACAGACTCACCCACAGCCACAAAGCAGGATGGAGCCAGGGCCCACAGAGAGGCCTGAGAACATGACTCGGGTGTTTAAGAAAGCAGCAACTCATCCCAGCCCGGGATACAGGAAGGGCTCTTGCAGAGGAACCCCCATCACAATGACTTTTGAGAAGTTAGTAGAAGTGGGTACATGGGGGGGGGCGGCCAGCTGAGGGACCAGCACAGACAGAGACAAAGAGACAGCAACACGGAGGATGCGGGAAGTGAGAAGTAGCTGGCAAAGGGACTTCCTGCAGGGAAGAGAGGGAGACCCGTGTCCCAGGAGGAGCTGAGAGGCTATTCTCGGGCCACGAGGAGTCTCAGATGTTTTGAGGAGGGACATAACGCAGCCCCACAGGCAAGTCCACGCAAAGGGACAGGGAGGAGCAAGGTGGCGAGCTCAGGCAACTGTGAAATTACGGCTGACGGGGGCCCAAGCGGAAGGTGGCCGGCAGACCACCCAGCAAGGGAGGGTCCCCAGGGCCGTGGCCTGGAAGTGGTGTCTCAACCAGACTCTGAAATCTGAGCAGCCAGTGACAGCCCATGGGTAGGACGCTCACCTCTGATCTTCTACCAGATTCTCTTTATTCTGTTTTTACTTTCTGATTACGTCGGAAGGGGTTGTGTGTGTGTCTCACATATTATAATTAAAATGAAATAACAGGGCCCCAAAGTCTGCGCCATCTCCGCAGCAGCACACACTGGGCCATAGCACCAGTGGCCTCCCTCGTGGCAAGTCACACTCCCACCAGCATACATGAAAAATAGCGTCTTGCCAGGCATGATGGCTCACACCTGTAATCCCAGCACTTTGGTAGGTCAAGATGGGAGGATGGCTTGAGCCCAAGGGTTCACCAGCCTGGGTAACACAGTGAGACCTCATCAAAAATAAAAATAATTAGCCAGGCATGGTGGCACACACTTGTAGTCCCAGCTACTCAGGAGGCTAAGATGGGAGGATCTCCTGAGCCTAGGAGTTCGAGGCTGCAGTGAGCCATGATTTTGCCACTGCAATCCAGCCCGGGCAACAGAGTGAGACCCTAACTCAAAAAAAAGAGAAAACGGTCCCAGTGCCATGTGCCCCTTGGTTTGTCAGTCATGCAGGGGGCTGTTTTCTGGCTACAGGATGTGTCAGGCTTCCTAGCAGACAACTGTAGTAAATAACAAGTTCTGAGAAAAACCTGATTACAAATTCCTCAGGGCTCCGAGGCCAAGGACAGGGCAGCAGCAGGGACAAAGTGTGTGTGTGACCCTCCCATGCCCTCTCACCCTTCCTTTTGAGGTTTCTCTTTCATGGCTGTGTTAGCCTCTTTTTCCCTTTCAACCACCGACCACTCAATTCTTTGAGGGAAAATTAACATTCATTATGCAATTTATCTCTCTCCTTTTAATCCAGAGTGTCTGTCTCCAAGGTCCCTGCTCAATAATTAATGTTTGTTCTCATTTCCCATTCTCCAGAGCATCCGTTCCCGAACTGTAGGGTCAACAATTAACACTAATTAGGGCTGCTTCTCTCTCCAGTGTTAGTTCTCAGAGTCCCAAGCTGTCTGCTTGGCCCTCATCAGGGGCGCACACGTGGCCGCGTGTGCGTGGCTGGGATGGAAGGGCACGGCGAGGCGGGTGGGCCCTCTCGAGCCCCATCGCTGTTTAGCGAGTCAATAAAACCCACACATTTCTTTTTGGTAACCTTCCCGGTATGTTTGTTATCAGTAATGAGACAAAGAAGCAAAAAACAAATAAACAGAAGTACTTGGAAGTCAGTAGTTCGGGGGGTAGCTGGACTAGAAGATCTCTGAATTCTAGGATTCCCTGTGAATTTCTTCTCTGTTTCTATCTCCTTGATATCTCACATGTCTGACTCTCTCTCTCTCTCTCTCTCTCTCTCTCTCTCTCTCTCTCTCTCTCTCTCTCTCTCTCTCTCTCTCTCCCCCCCTGCCTCCCCCACCTCAAACACACACACACCTCCCAAACTTTCCTTTCAAACCCATTTTTCCTTCATCTAGGACCCGCTCAACTGACCTCTTTGCTGTGTGCTACCTCTCCCTTAACTGTCTTTCTCAAGTGTGTCATCCTAATCCTCATCAGCCATTACAACAGCTTCGTTTCATTCATTTTCACTTTGACTGACAAGGACAGCTAGAAGAACGATTCTCACCCCAGATGACTCTAACAGATTGAAAAACAAACGCATCAGGGGCTGTGAAAAAGCCTGTCTGTCTCTCTGGCTGGAATCAGATGGGCTTGAATCCCTCCCGCTTCGCCTGGTGCAAAACTGGGCTCTGTGCTACAGCTGGAGACGGGCTTGTCTGCCATCCACGGCCAGCACACCGAGGCACAGCTGCTGTTCAAATCTGGGCATCTGTGGTGTGTGCCAGACTTTAACTGTTTCCTGCTCCGGCTCTGTCAGAAGTTCACCTCTCAGAGTCCTAGCATCATGGACCCTGCAGGTTTTCACCTCTAAATGTCGCAGATAAAAACATGACTTTCCTCAATGCTTTTCAAGTCCTCAATGAGCCTTCTGTGGATTTTCAAACCATCCAATTCATCACAAGGCTCAAATACCAAGGCCCCCACTTCAGGTCTGCCGTTGTCTTAGGGTAAGGAAGAGCTATTTTTCCAGATCTTTTTCCACTCTCAGGTAAAATCCCTTCTTGTTTTTCAGCCTCTGAATTCGTCAACCTGAACATCCACCCTGAAGAGGAAGAGTCTGGCAGTTGGCATCTCCTACAAGGTAGGCTTTTCCCCTAGAAAGTCACCTCTGCTTCTCACACCATTTGACTTCCTGTCATATTATTTCATATCTAACCCCAGATGCATGCAACTTCTCCCCAGTAAGTAGAAGAGAGAATTTGTTTCTTGGAAAGCTGAGAAACGTGGTGTTTTCTTGAGACCCAGGTGAGCAGTCCTGGGGTCCGAGTGCAAGTCTCAGGGACAGAGAGAAGTCGGAGCCAGCCAAGCACTTGCACCTAGCTGACCCAGGAAGGATCACTTGCAGGGATGTCCTATGTGTTCCACAGGTTGTACACTGCACAACTCCTGAGATGATGAGGTGATGTCCCCCTAGAACTGTGCACAACTCAGCCTGCACAACTGCCAGCCGGGGGCACTGGGTGGGGGTACCTACCTGGAAGAGACTCAGCCTTGCATTTTAAATGGAGAACTGAGGCTGGCCCCGCCTCTCCCAAGATTCTTCTTCTGTTTCATGCCCTGTGGAGAGATCTGCGAACACTGGGAGTGTGGGTTGACCTTGAGCTCACCCTCCACCTGTAGACATGGCAGCTTCTGCTTCAGACCAGGGAAAAGATGGTGACCTGGGACATTCCCCCTCTCCTGGAAGTGGGCTTTGACCAACAGGGAAGTGTGTATGGCCTCCCTTGCTGCTTGTTTGGGGGAAGGTAGGGTGAACCCTGCATGTGGACCAGGCTGCTATGCCCAGCAGGAAGCCACCCTGGAGCCCCGCTGGGGGAGGACACTGTTTCTGCCAGAGATTGCAAAACAAGGAGAGAAGGCCTGTCGGGTTCTTCCAGTCTCAAAGTCTATAGGCAGAGAAATCCCTGGGAGTCTGGCCCTCTATGCTTCCTTCTGTCTTGGTCTATTCTGCATTGCTATGAGGGATTACCTGAGGCCAGATCATTTATAAAGAGGTTTATTTAGCTCACAGTTCTGCACTGCGTGTGCATCTGCTCCCAGTGAAGCCTCAGGAAGCTTACAGTCATGGCGGAAGATGGAGAGGAAACCAGCATGTCACATGGCAAAGAGCGGAAGCCAGAGAGAGAGGAGGTGCCAGGCTCTTTGGACAACCAGCTGTGGTGCTGTTATAACAGAGTGGGAACTCAATATTACCATGAGAACGGCACCGAGTCATGTATGAGGGACCTACTCCCATGAACCACACACCTCCCACCAGGCCCCTCCTCCAGCCCTGGGGATCACATTTCAGCATGAGATTTGAGGGGACAGTCATCCAAACTCTGTCACCAACCTTGCCATCTGCCTTGGGCAGACATCCTGAGTTTCATTGTCAGTGCTGCTCATTCTCACACGTTGGTCAGACCTGACCCCTTAACTAGGAGCCCAGCAGGGAAGGCGTTGGCAGTGGTGGTGGCTGCTCCCAACGTTACATAGCTCTGATATGCCAGGCATCATGCCAAGGGCCTTGCATTCATGATTTCACTTCATCCTCATAGCAATAATATAAGATAAATCCTATTATTGAGGCTGGGCCTGGTGGCTTACTCCTGTAATCCCAGCACTTTGAGAGGCCGAGATAGGAGGATTGGTTGAGCCCGGGAACATAGCAAGACCTCATCTCTACAAAAAATCCAAAAACAAAAAAAAGAGAGAGATTAACTGGATGTGGTGGTACATGCCTGTAGTCCCAGCTACTCAGGAGGCTGGGGCAGAAGGATCGTCTGAGGTCCAGGAGGTCAAAGCTGCGATGAACCATGATGGTGCCACTGCCCTCCAGCCTGGATGACAAAGTGAGACTCCCGACTCATACAAACATATGAGTTCATTTTTCATCTGGGACAATGTGGCTTAGAGCAGTTAAGTGATTTGCCCAAGGTCACACCAAGTGGTGACATGAGAATCTGAACCCTAGAAACATGCATTTTCACCATTATACATGGTTAGTAGTGGTGCATTTCTACCTGACAATATCCGAAGTCTCTGACTCTAGGAAATCTCTGACTCAGTAATGACCCACACACACTATTGGCTTCTGTCAGACACCATTTCCCCTCTAGTCCCCCTTACATCAGATGCTGTTTTGTGGGTAACACTGAACACAATTTGCAACTTTTAGAGATATTATAGGGAGAAAAGGAGAAGTTGGGAAAAGTGACAGTTTGGGATAACCAAAGTCTTGATACAAATTTTTGAGCAAGATAGGCCTGTTTGCAGGGAAGTTCTCTAGACCAAAATGTTCCTCCTAATATACCCTAAAATGTTTCAATTTCAATTCATTCTAGTATTAATATCTCACCAATAAAAAATCTGCTTTGGATTAAGAAGCATTCTCTTAAAATGCTGATACCTCTAAGAGGCTAGTAGTCCATCACACTTCAGTAAAAGTGTATTTAATTGGAAAGCTGTCCTCTTGTAAACTAGCTGAGAACAGCTGCTCTGTAGGGCTAAGAATCCTGATAGAGGTGGAAACAGAGGTGAGCAATTTGGAAGTAGGGTTTTAAGGGTTGAAACATACCTGACCGGTGGAGTGCTCAGGCAACCTTGGATGAACAGAAGAACATTAGCTGCATGGAGAAAGGGGCTTCAGAAGGAGAAGGGTATCAATTGCAGCACGGCCCCATGGCATGCTCTGGGTCCAGGGAGGGAAGGAAAATGCTGATTCCTGTCTCCTGTCTATTCATGGTAACTAAAAGGCCTTGGACTAACACAAATCTCCTTCTTATTTCCAAGTTTCAGAGCATGCTGTTCCCTCTTTCTGGAGCACAGTTTCTCATCTCCTTCTATCCACCTTTTTTTTTTTTGATGGGGAGTCTGGGTCTTACTCTGTCTACCCAATCTGGATTGTAAGGGCACAATCACAGCCCACCACAGCCTCAGCCTCCTGGGCTCAGGCAAGTCTCCCACCTCAGCCTCCTGCATAGCTGGGCCATCACACCTGACTAATTTTTTGATTTTTTTATAGAGATGAGGGTCTTGCTATGTTGCTCAGGCTGGTCTCAAGCCCCTGGGCTCAAGTGATCCTCCCACCTCAGCCTCCCAAAGTGCTGGGGTTATAGGCGTGAACTATAACCTTGTCTCTACAGAAACTAAAAAACAATAAGCCGGGCATGGTGGCACGTGCCTGTAGTCCCAGCTACTTGAGAGACTGAGGAGGAAGAATCACCTGGTTGAGGCTGCAGTGAGCCTGGGTGACAGAGCAAGAGCCCAACTCAAAAAAAAAAAGAAAAAGAAAAAGAGTTCAGCTGCAATACGTGTTAAACAGGCTTTGTTTCAGGTTGACTCAAGAGTCTAATCACACAGAACACAGTCCCTGCATGAAAATAATGAATAACAGCCCCTGAAGAAGCATAAAATGCCTCTCCCAGGGACCTTATGTGGTCCCTTGACTTGCTCAATGACCTTAACAAGAAACTCTTCCATCTCTTTGTGCCCTGTAGTTCCCATTTGTTGTTACAGACATAGAACATGATTCTGAAAGTACCTGATACCTCCTGGATTGAGTTCAAAGACCAACTCAAAACATCTCATCGTTGGAACGCCTATAGAGCTTTCACAGCTGTGGAGGGTTTTGTTTTGCTTTGGTCATTTAGTTTTCTGTTTGTTTTGTTTTGTTTTGAGTTGGGGGTCTCACTCTGTTGCCCAGGCTGTAGTGCAGTGGCATAATCATGGCTCATCACAGCCTTGACCTCCTGGGCTCAGGTGATCCTTCTATCTCAGCCTCCTGAGTAGCTGGAACTACAGGCACATGCCACCATGCCCAGCTTATTTTTTTTAGTTTCTGTGAGACAAGATCTCACTATGGTACCCAGGCTGGTCTCAAACTCCTGGGCTTGCGCTATCCTCCCGCCTTAGCCTCCCAAAGTGCCAGGCACGTATGAGCCTCAGCACCTGGTCTGGTTATTTAGTTCTAATAAATATTTTCAGATAAAAGTGGTAGAATTCTAACCACTGGACCACCAGGGACATGAGGTCAAGGTTGTGGTGATCGTGCCACTGCACTCCAGCCTGAGTCATAGAATGAGACCCCACCTCAAAAAAAAAAATGATAGAATTCTAAAAATTGTATAGATAATGAACTTTAGGTATTTGTGGACTTGAAGTTTGGTTTCGACTATTTGAAATGACCTGAAAAGTCAGGGCCACACACAATTGTCATTTCACAGAGGCATGAGGTCAAATCATGGCATTGCAAAGCTGGGAGACAGACGACCACCCACTAGGTGCGTGGGTGACGCTCTCCAGCCTCCCAGCTCCTAATCCCAGGTTCGTGGTCTATACTCACTCTGACGTCTGCAGTCACTCTTGGCCGTTACTTTTTAAACATGGGAATAGTGATTTTTTTTTTTTTTTTTTTTGGTTTCTGTCATCCAGGCTGGAATGTGGTGGCATGACCACGGCTACCACAGCTTCGACCTGCTGAGCTCAGGCAATCCTTCCACCTCAGTCTTCCAAGTAGCTGGACTCACAGGTGCATACCACCACACCCAGCTAATTTTTAAAAAATTTATTGTAGAGATGAGGTCTCAGCGTGTTGCTCAGACTAGTCTTGAACCTCTGGGCTCAGGCAGTCATCTCACCTCAGTCTCCCAAAGTGCTGGGATTACAGGCGTGAGTCACCGTGCCCGGTCAATTTTTTAACACATGCATTTTTTAAATGGTCCCAGAAAGAAGGCCAGAACTAGTGATGGAAGTAGCAGAATGCGGAGTGGTCTAACAATGTGATGGTTGTCTGCCAAAAAAAAAAAAATAGTTTCATAAATCACTCTAATTCTTTCTTTATAGGTTCATTAGGAGTCTGAAGAACTCCCCCTCTTTTTTCAATTCTCTTTCGGTTTTATTGGGTACGTGAAATACACTAGGGTCATTCACACATCTAAGGATTCCTGAAATGCTCAGAATGGGTCTCTCCCAAGTCGCCAGGACACGTTGTTCACTGAAGGCCTGACACTCGGGAGGGATTAGGCCATGCAGGGAGGCAGCACTTAGCACAGCGCATTTTAAGGCAGGTATGAATTTTCAGATTGTGTGTGTGTGTGTGTG